CAAGTCCTCCAAGCCTCCAGTTCCCAAGAACAAGCTAAGACTCCAGTTATATCCCCTAGTTGCAACCACCCCCTTCATTAATAACCTGAAAGGACAGTTGAAGCTCCACCGAGCTCCAACCCAGTCGTGACTGTAACCGCCACAGCCTCTGTCTCAACCGGCTTGCACAATCCACCGGATCCAGAGATACACCGAGGACCATTACTACTCTCCAAATCCAGCAAACTATTCCCAGGAGAGATTTTAATGTTCGGATTCTTGGTCCTCAAAACCCAACGACGTTTCAGAACTGTACTCGAAACACGTCCTATGCTCCCACTGTCACGAAACCCCTGACCTGATTCAGACCTCCAAACACACTCAACTGTCATCCCCAAAACTCCAAGATTCACGTTTCCAAAATGAACCTTCTTAGCTTTGCCTGATTCAGTGAGCCCGACTTTGTTAACTGTCTTTACCGGGTTGGTCACTCCCTCCAATGTCACCGGTACCATGTATAACGATCCTCTTTTCAAGCCTCTAGCAATAACCAAATTTCCTTTGATTACCTTCCATTTTCCACCACCAAACTTGACGTCTAGTCCCTGTTCATCCAATTGTCCGACTGAGATCAACTTTGTCTTCAGTCTTGGAATCACCCTGACATTTTGTAAGCTCCAAGTAGTTCCAAATGAAGTTTTTAGATCAATATCTCCCATGCCTGTAATTTTAAGGATTTTCCCGTTACCCAACTTTACCTTTCCAAAGTCTCCCTTTTTGAGATTCACCATCGCCTCACCGCTGTGCATGGCGTGAAACAAAGCACCAGAATCCATGACCCAAGAGTCAACATAGCTTTCCGTGCTGAGTATCAATGCATCACTATCATCATCAGATGCATTCCCAACAACTGCGCTAATTTCGTTTTTCCTGTTTGGGCATTGACTCTTGAGATGCCCAACTTCTTTGCAGACCCAGCACACCACATTCTTTCCAGCCTTAGACGAGCTCTTCCCACGACTCCTACTGTTTCTGTTATTACCTCTTCCCCTGCTAACACTGAGTAACCCAGAAGTAGATCCTCCACTAGCGTTCCTCCGACGAATGTCTTCACCCAAAACACTATCCCGTATCCGATCAAACTTCAAGTTTCCTGTTCCAGCAGTTTCAGTAACCGTTGTCACAAATCCCGACCAACTATCAGGCAAGGAAGATAACAGAATCACAGCCTGAGTGTCATCATCGAACTTCATGCCTACTGATGACAACCTCGACAAGATCGAATTGACCTCATTAATGTGATCAGCAACTGGGCTGCCCTCGTTCATTCTCATCATGAACAATTCCCTCATCAAGAACACTCTATTACCGGCCGACGGTTTCTCATACATATTTGACAGAGCTGTTAACATACCACGAGCAGTTGTTTCCTTCATGATATTAAACGCCACACTCCTCGTCAAAGCTAGTGTAATTTTACCTCTTGCCTTTTTGTCCTTTGAGTCCCAAATTGCTTCAGCAGCCTTATCCATTCCATCCGGTTTCTCTTCCAGTACCATGTCCAAATCGCACTCACCAAGCAACGCCTCTATTTGCATT